TAAATTTCATGATTATAAAAATTCATAACATTGAAAACATAAATAAAAGTTAGACTACATGAGCAAGCTTAATAAATTCTCATTTGATATTACCCTAAAATTCTTCTTACATCCATATTGAATATTAATTTTACTCATTAAAAGATTTGGCTACTCAGTCATAAACATATTCAATGGAGCCCAGGTATACCTGGCATTATCGTCATTGAATTATATAGAGGTCCCTTTTGCCTCTTCGGGGTCCCTTTTGCCACACCTGCTTTGCAGGTTTCATTTCTTTGGGGTCCCTTTTGCCCCACTTACCAAACAGTTTAATATATGAGGACCCTTTTGCCCCACCTGTATTGATAAGTTATACATAAATCTTTAGCCAAATCTTACTTTTAAATTGATATTTAATACACCTTCTATATTCATTATCCATACCAGATTTGCTGCATGCTTTTTATTCATTCATTGCATAACATGAATATGCACATAATACGTAAAGAAAATGATCTCTTTTCAAAACATTATCAATAAGGAAAATATTTAAATGAACATAATACATCTTGATTTAAACTCACATAATTAATTTATGTAAGTGATTAATCATAATTGAAAACTTGTAAGTATATTCTTTTCTAGGCTTTCACAAAAGGTTGATCAAACATGCATAAAATCAAATCATTTACTTTGATGACTACTTTCCAAAGTGTCATTATAAATATTGTACATATTTAATGATAAGGTATATATTTCTTAAAAATACTTGCATCACTTACATCCTTGCCCAGTTGTCTCTTCCAATTCTCTGCTTCGCATTCTTCTACGATTGTATGTCACCTCGAAACTTTCTCTTTGCATAAGACCAATAAAACCTATAACACAATTAGATCCAACATCTTTAAAGACTTTCACTACTATTTTTAGAAATCCATCTAACAACCATGCACAAACCAAAATGATTTACCTATTTTCTCCTCTCAGAATCTTCTTTCTTATCCTTCTTTCCTCATTTTCTCTTCTTCTTTCTTTTGCTTAATCCCTCCCCTGTTAAAGAGAGAGATTACATCTTCAAATACGTGTGGAAGACCTTTGATTCATCTGTTTCATTTTCCCCATGTAGCATGATCTTACTAGACTATGCTCATTTCCTTTCACAAAGGGAATCATTTTCTGTCCTTCTTTTCAGTTTATTTCGGAATCTTTTCTTTCTATGCCAATCATTTCACTTTTAATCCATGCGTATAACTTATATAATATAAGAACGATTGTAAGTTAAAAAAATAGATACAAATCTCTTCTAAAAGGTCAATGTCATTCTGAGAAACTATCTCTTTGTGCATATATCAATCAATGGTAACTGATTCTGTGATCCAAGCCATAAGGTCACTTTTATAGAGCAATGCTTTGAGCCCAAAGATTGAAGAATCAATTTCTGCTCAAGCTAGAATCAAACAATCCAGTCCCTGCAGGTAATCCAATTGTGTACCAACTTGTCCACTCTTTTAATTAATTTCAAATGACCAATATGATCTGGAACTGAGGTTTTTTTTTTTCACTTTGGCAAATCCAGCAGCACCCTTTCGATCTTCATTGTCTCACTTAAAACACAAAAATTCCCATTCAAATTCTCACTTTATACTTGGGATCATAATAATTTCCTGTTGGCGGTCTTAGGCTGCTTTTAATCTATCTCTGATTAAAGTTGAACCTTTTCAGTAGCAATGATCTACCAAATGCGAACCTATAATTTGTCTTTCACTTTCCCACTTCCACCCAACTTAAGGGAGTTCTGCATTTTCTGGCCATATCAAGCTTCATCATGGAGCCATCTTGATACTAGATATTGGTGAAAGCTATTATTGTAAGTGAATTTATTAAGGGAATATGAACTTCCCAACTGCCTCCAAAATCCATTATACATAATCTTTAACTAATCTCAACACCTGAATAATTCTTCTGATTGATCCATCAGTTTTGTTGGATGAAATGTTGTACTGAACTTTAACTTTGTACGCCAAAAAACTTTTCATGAATATTCCTCCATATCTTTGGATGTAAAACATCCATCTCTATTCTGACACAATAGCCTTAGGAATATCCATGTAATCTGATGACACTTTCTTCACAAATAATGGGTTGGTTAAATTCTCCAATGAGTTAATTATACCCTGAAAAATTATTTTGAAGTTTTAAGATTAAATTAAGTGTGAATTAGTATTGAATATTAAATTATCAACTAGTTAAGATATAATTTAATACTAAAATATTAATGTTATATTTAATAATGATAAAATGCGAAGCAAAGCAGGTAAACATCCCTTGGCTGAACCTTCCACATTACATGTAGTAATTTAAGCATTCTCTCTTTATTCTGAAGAGAATTCCGAGGAGATACCTGCTATAGGCAGTAATAAGCATGACAGTGTAGTGTGAGTGGACATTTTATTGTCAGGAAACGGAAACGTTGGGAAGGCATCGTTTGAGGGAATTTATATGATTATACCGAAAGAATTGAGTTGGCAGATTCCAGTAGAATAACTTCGCTACAGGGCTGTAGAAGTCTTCTACACAATGGGAAATTCGGCATGGAGGGATTCTCCAGGGCGGCAGAGTGTATGCATGCGGGATTTGGAATAGAGTGTCTGCAGTAAGGGAATTCTTCATAGGAAGAATTCGGCTGGAGAAAGTTCCATGATTATTTTAGAAAGAGAATTCGGTAGAGTACATGGGAGTAAGTTGTCTGAAAGATTTTGTGGCAGTAAAGAAATAGCTAAATATAGCTTTGCGCTGATGAGGCAATA